ACGTCTGATGAAACAGCTACAGAGCGAACAGGAGATTTCAAAGTCAAGAGGAAAAACAGGCAGCGACACGGGTTAACGGGCAGACCATAAGCAGAAGAGCGAACCCGATATAAACCAATAACGAGACGACCATTCACGAATCGGAGGGGCTAAATATCAGTCGACTGATTTTTTACCAAGTCTCAGTCGATCCCCCACCCCCCGCATTAGATCACTAGGGGCTTCAAAATCTGTGCATGCTGTTTGTTTCTTGTGAAATAGGCCCGTGCAGGGATACAGCCGGCCTGTTTAGTGCTTTTTTTTTTGTTTGTGAAAGGTGCAGGTATGCGTGGTGGGCTTGGCATCTTCCACATTCCCCATTCCAGTGTGTGTCTCTTTCACCTGGCTACATTCGAAACCAAGCAATCCAACCTTTTTTTTACTCGTCTCCATTTTTTGTTAGTTTCTGTTGCCGGGTTATTTGGCATTTTTATGTGGCGTTTTCCTTTTTTTAGGGGAATGTGGCATTTTCCTTGATTAATTTGTTTGTCCCTTTTTATTTTATAGTTTTGTTTTCCTTCATCTTTTCTCGTAATATTATTTCCTTGTTTATTTATTTTATTTTCAGTTTTTCTGTCGCATATTATTATAATTTTATGAAAAATAATATATCTCATTCACGTCCTTCTCCGCCTGACAAAAACACATTGCAATTCTTGGATTTGGTCACGTAACACTTAGTTCCATTCGTGCGAGTAGTGCAGATAGGCATCATAAGCCGTCTTCTCTCTTTTTTAACACAGGTGGGATAAGGTTGTAGGCTTCTTATGTTGCATCCCGGTTATTTTTGCAGTGCAGCCTTTTTGTCCTCTTTATCCTGTTTTTATGGGAGATTTTGAGTCATCGGGTGTTTGTTGCCCTTATTTTTTATTTTATTTTCTTTCTTTCTTACTTTCATTCTGTTTATTTTTTCTTTTTTTCAATTTTTTGTTTATTTTATTTTTTAGATAGTTCTCTTTTTTTTCTTGGGCTATTTCTTATTTGTCATTTTCTCGATCGACAGAGAATTAGTTAGATCTCATTCGTTTTGGTAGCTATGGATTTTGGACATCAAGTTTTGTGTGTGGTGTGTTGTGTCGATGGCCTAGTACGTTGTTGCCTGATTTTTTTTCACTCTCTAGTCAACTAGAAATCATATTATTTACATAGACCGTAAGGTTATGGTGTTTTATTAGGGGAATGGGGCCTTTGCATGCTCGCCAATAGGCATGAACTTCAAAGTGTCACTCCAACTTCAATTGCATGTTCTCAACGCGACTTCAATTAAGTGGTGTTTTGTCGATAGAACGATGATTGCATGTCTACCACTAGGCACACAACTGCAAGTGTCACTCCTGATTGCACCTCGTTGATGTGTTGTTAGGGAAAGGTTGCAATAGCATGTATGTCAGTACGCTGCAATTTCAAATGCCCCTTCCCCCGATTTCAACTACATGTCTTCGAGGCAATTGTAACTATGTGATGTTTTGTTCGGTTAGGGGTGAGCTGCATGTCTCCCACTAGGCCACAGCTAGAAGTGTCGCCCCGACAGCAATTGCATGTCTTCAACAAAAGTACAACTATGTGGTGTTTTTGTCCGGCAGTGGTGTGTTGCATGTCTCCCATGAGGCCGCAACTGCAACTGTCACCCCCAACTTCAACTACATGTCCTCGACACAACTGCAACTATGTGGTGCTTTGTCCGGTCAAGGGAGAGTTGCATGTCTCCCACTAGGCAGCAACTGCAAGTGTCGGCCCGGCTGCAATTGCATGTCTTCGACGCAACTGCAACTATGTGGTATTTTGTTCAGTCAGGGGTGAGTTGCATGTCTCGCACTAGGTCGCAACTAGAAGTGTTGCCCACGGCTACAACTGCATGTCTTCGACGCAACTACAACTATGTGGTGTTTTGTCTGGTAGTGGTGAGTTGCATGTCTCCCATAAGGCCGCAACTACAAGTGTCGCCCCTGGTCAAAGGTGAGTTGTATGTCTCCCACTAAGCTGCAACTGCAAGTGTCACCCCGCCCGCAACTTCATGTCTTCGACACAATTGCAACTATGTGGTGTTTTGTTCAGTCAGGGGTGAGTTGCATGTCTCCCACTAGGTCGCAACTGCAGGTGTCGCCCCCGACTGCAACTGCATGTCTTCGACACAAGTACAACTATGTAGTCTTTTGTCCGGTAGTGGTGAGTTGCATGTCTCCCATGAGGTCGCAACTGCAAGTGCCGCCCCTAGTCAGGGGTGAGTTGCATGTCTCCCACTAGGCCGCAACTGCAAGTGTCGTCCCCGATTGCAACTGCATGTCTTCGATGCAACTACAACTATATGATGTTTTTGTCTGGTCAGGGGTGAGTTGCATGTCTCCCAATAGGCCGCAATTGCAAGTGTCGCCCCAACTGCAACGACAAGTCTTCCATGCAACTACAACTATATGGTGTTTTCGGTCAGGGGTGAGTTGCATGTCTCCCATGAGGTCGCAACTGCAAGTGTCTCCCCCGACCGCAACCGCATATCTTTGATGCAACTGCAACTCTATGATGCTTTGTCAGGGAAGAGGCGACAATTGCATGTTTGCCCCTAGTCCGCAACTGCAAGTGTTGCCCCTGACTGCAACTACATTTCTTCAACGCAACTACAACCATGTGGTATTTTAACCGGGGCAGGGTGAGTTGCATGCCTCCCACTAGGCCGCGACTATAAGAGGCAATTGCATGTCTTCAACACTACCGCAACTCTGTTGTGTTTTGTCCCAGCATGGGTGAGTTGCATGTCTACACAGGCACGCAACTGCAAGCAGAGGCGGAGGACGGAAAAAAAATTAAGGTGTGGCAAACCGGTGAAGAAGTGTGATCACACTGCGCCCTGCTGGTCGTGGTGTGAAGGATGCGAAGTAGCCGCCGCTCGCTGCACCAGTGCGCCTTGCGCGGGAGCGCCCTATCTCCCCACTGGCTCGACGCCCACCAAAGGTCACAGCCGTCGTCGTCCGCCACTCTGCCTCGTCCTGGCCAGCTGCTGCGTACTAGGGTTGCTGCCTGCCACTTGCGTGTGCGTCTCTATATCTGAGCTGGGGAGCTGGTTCTTGATCGGTTCGCTGAGAGAGAGAGAGCATTTTTTTAGAAGATTGAGAGCGGGAGCTCTTTTTGTTTTAGACAATTGAGAGCGAGAGCTTTTTTTGTTTTTTTAGACAATTGAGAGCGAGAGCTAGCCACCGTGAAGTGTAAATGGGCCAACTGCTTCTGGATGTCGTGTCTATATGTGGCCCAAATTTCAACTATGTCTAATCGGTCCATCCAACGAACGACCTCTCCCTTTATCCATTTTTTCAGCGACGAGATTCAGCGTAGCCAACCGCAAGAAGTGTGGTATAAAAGTATTTTTGCACCGAAACAAGGTATGGCGGCTGCCAGACCTTGCCCACTGGGGTCCACCGCCAGTGACTGCAAGTGTTGGTCACGACTGAAACTGCATGTTTTCAACGCGACGAAAATTCTATGATGCTTTGTCGGGGAAGGGGGCAGTTGCAAACCCGTTTCTAGTGATGTTTTACGGGAGAGGGGTGGTTTCTTTGTATTTTTTTGCTTTTTTATTCCTTTGTTTTATATAATAGTTTTTTAAGATAATACGAAATGATTTGTTAAATTAAAAAAAAATTAAAGCAAGCAAGAGGACAAAAGAGAACAGAAGGAACGACACATCACGAGCCAAAACAAATGGGCTGATTCCAGGCCCATGTAGCGATCCTCGTGTAGCTGCGCACGTAAAAATAATCCTACGTTCAAGTTCCGGCCAAAAAAAAATTATATGATGACATCAGCCGACTTAGACTTCGCGAAGTCTAAGTTGACTGAGACCTAGACAAACCATTCACAAATTGTTGCGCAACGATCGAATGGACACAAAATCTGACCGAAAACGAATTGTTTTCAGCCGAATGAAAATTAGCAAAACCGTAAAATAATGTGCAATAAACCTAATCACAGTTTGAATGAAAAAAGATCACTACCAATGCCAAGTCAAAATTCTCTCAATATATTCTACAAAAAAACTATAGTATGTATGTATAAATAAAGGCGTGCAAGGATTTTATATTTAATTAATTACAACAGTAATGCCTCTTTTGGTTCATAGGATAGGATTATCATAGGAATAGGAATCTTGTAGGAAATGAAATGACATGTATCTCAAATCTTATGAGTAGGAATAGAAAACAAGATGTCATTTGATTGACACCAAAGGAATTTTTTCATTGAGTCTAGACTCTTTTTTATTTTTCTATGAAATGTGGGGGATAGGGGGATAGGAACCAATCCTATGTAAGAATAGGAATCCATTCCTATGAACCAAATAGCTCTAAAGAAAAAAATTCTATAAGAATCCTATCCTCTAGAATCCTATGAAATTCCTATAAACCAAAGGAGGCCTTGATACATATAATGCAATATTGCTATGGATTATGGCCACGTAGTGAAACGACTGGAAATGACAAAAATGGATGGAAAAGCTAAAAATAATATACGAGAATAACCAAAACACAAAGCAAGAGTTTGTAATCCAACAAGGATAAACTGTCATACAATATCAACAAAAGAACCAAATAATTAAACAATGACTCAACTTTGCCATGCTTAAAATCCAAACATTTCGGATTTATCATTTCGGTAAAAAGAGCCAACAAGGTTAGCCTCGGGTTGGTCTTATTTTTGTTTTGAACTCCGAACGCGGAACACCGCCTCTTCGACGGCATGATGCCAGCACGCCGGCCGGATGCGTGGACGCCATGCATCGCCGCTACGACGATTAGGCTCCTTGACACGGCATCATCGCCGCGCTTTATCCTAATCACACGAAGAGGACACGTGTGGGCGCTCTCCTGCAAACCCTGCGCCCGCCCGCCCGGTTTCAGACGTCGTCGTCAAACGCGACAGGACAGGAAAGGAATGGCGACCCCACCAGAACGAGAGGTCAGCATCGCCCGTAGGGGATGGCCCACATCGTCTTCCTCCGCGCGGCAGCCGCCGACCTCACCGCCGGCAAGCCGTCGCTCGCGGGCGTGCCGTCCTCCGCGCCGCTCTCCGCGGCCGCCGCGGTCATCCCGTCGTCGCCGGAGGCCGCCGTGGCCGTCTGGCGCGACGGCGCCTCCCCGCTGGCGCCCCTCGCCGCCACCGTCGTCGGGCTGCTCAGCTCCCTCGACGTCGTCGCCTTCGTAGCCTCCCATGCCAGAGGAGGAGGCGCCGAGGCGGACGCAATGAGAACTCCGGTCGGTGAGGTGGTGCCGCGGGAGCCGGCGCTGGTCCGCGAGGTCGAGCCCGACGCCAGGTTGATAGAGATAATGGACCTGATGAAGCAGGGGGCGAGGCGAGTCCTCGTCCGCAAGAACTTCACGGAAGGATGCCCCATCAACAAGCAGCCCTTCGCGCCCTTCTACAAGGCCGCGCTCAAGATCACCGGCACGCCGCGCGCCGCCGCGACCCAAACGGTCAGCCGGTCGTGGTCGTCCACGTTCGGCTGCGACAAGTACTGCTGCCTGACGCGGGAAGACATCGTCCGCTTCCTCATCAACTGCCTGGGCGCCCTCGCGCCGATCCCGCTGCAGTCGATCTCCTCCCTCGGAGCCATCAGCCGCGGCTACTGCCACGTCGACGCCTCCTCGCCTGCCATGGAGGTCGTCTGGAAGATACCCTCCGACCCGCGCGCGGTGGCCGTCGTGCGGACGAACCGCGACGGGTCGCATGTGATTCTCGGGGAGATATCCGCTCACAAGCTGTGGAAGCGCGACCATGTGGCCGCTGCCGACGCGATGGCGAGGCTGTCGGCGCTGCACTTCGCCACCGGCATTGACGAGAACGGGGCGGCACCGGCTGCAGCTAATGGCGTCGGTGCCGGCGCACGACGGGGTGAGGTGGAGAATGATATCGTGCCTTCTCCAAGGTCTATGAGGTTCAGCAGCAGGAGAATCGGGTTCTCGGCGTGCCTTGCCAGCCAAATGGTCCCGAGTCACCGGGAGAACACGGTGCTCACCTGCAAGACCACGAGCTCTCTCGCCGCCGTCATGGCGCAGATGCTGGCGCACAGGGCCACGCACCTCTGGGTCGTCCAAGGTGACGACACGGAGGAAGCCATCTTGGTTGGCATGGTTGGCTACATGGACATCTTCAACGCAGTCACCAGCGGTGTTCTTGTTCTTCCTGCTTGATCGCGGGCAAATTTTGCAGAAGGAATCCGCTGCTTTCTTGATTGATTTCTGTTAAGATCGAGGAGGGAAACTTAGAGCAAAACAGGTAGGAGCAGAGCTGTTGGCACTGAGTAGGAAGGAACTCAAAACTCAACCACTATTGGCTGGTGAGAGTACATTGCAATTTGCAAGTCAGGGTATGTTTGGATTGTAGCCAAAATGAACATTACCAATTTTTTACACATGTCCAAATTTTTTGTCATTGTTTGGATGGTGGCCAGTTTTTTTGGCATGCCAATGCCTCCTCTGCTCCTCACTAGTTCAATTTCCTTGGCAATGTTGACCAACTCATGGGCCAATCTTCATTGGTTAGAGGCCAATGTTTTTCATACTAAAGCCAGCTCTTCGAAAATACAAAGGTGAACATATCACAAAATCCGCGTCCCTCTGCTCTCCCTCCATCTTTTTAACAGAGGAAGTAGTGGTGGTGTATAATATTATGACAAAATACATTGTCCATCTAACCAGCCTTGCAGCAGTGAGCAAACAGGTAGTGAAATGCATCTGACAGAAGAAAACTATAATTATCGTTCTGCTTGTGAAGGAGGCATGTGGCAAAGTAATGTTTTGTTGTAAACTTGTAATAATAGAGTGATGGCAAAGTTGTTTCAATGCCACTAAACTTTCCTTAGATCAATGTCATATCAATTAAATAATACTCCCTCCGTCCGAAAAAACTTGTCCCTCAAATAGATGTATCTAGCACCAAGTTAGTGCTAGATACATCCATTTGAGACACAAGTTTAGGACAAGTTTTTCCGGACGGAGGGAGTAACATGTTTAGGTATGGAGGCAATCTAGCAGCTACATTGCCATTGCACTCGTGATGGAACTGAACAAAGAAGGACAATCTAAGAATAGACAATCTTCAACCTCTTCTTAATGTCAGCTTTAAAATTTTCACCAAGGTGGGAACTAACAGGCTTACGCAGATTGTGCATTCTGTGATGCAGCCATCTCAAACTGCTTTCACACCGGACATAAACATTCTAGAATGGGTTGTGGTCCTACATGAAACGCTTCATGAAATCCACATGAAAAAACTAGATGGGATGATTTTTAAGATGGATTTTGAGAAAGCGTACAATAAGGTTAAATGACCATTTCTTCAACAGGCCCTGCGGATGAAAGGATTCGATCAGTCCTGGAGAAACCAGGTAGATTCTTTCACGCAAAAAGGGAGTGTCGGAATCAAAGTGAATGATGACATAGGTCATTATTTCCAGACACACAAGGGTGTGAGGCAAGGAGACCCGATGTCACATATTCTGTTCAACATAGTGGTAAACATGTTGACTATCCTAATAGAAGAGCTCAGGACAATGGCCAGGTAGGAGGGCTCATCCCGCATCTAGTGGATGGAGGAGTGTCCATCTTACAATATGCTGATGATACTATCATCTTTATGGAGCATGATTGGCAAAAGCAAGAAACATGAAGCTTGTGTTATGCTTATTCGAACAGTTGTTGGGGTTAAAGATTAACTTCCATAAAAGTAAGGTGTTCTGCTTTGGAAGAGCTAAAGACGAACAAGAAGCTTACAAACAATTGCTCGGGTGTGAATTAGGTTCATTGCCTTTACGTATTTGGGTATACCAATTCACCATCGCAAGCTTTCCAACAAAGAATGGAAGTGCATTGAGGATCGATTTGAAAAGAAACTAAGCTGCTAGAAGGGCAAGCTTATGTCATATGGAGGCCGACTAATTCTCATTAATTCGGTACTCACGAGTATGCCAATGTTTATCTTGTCCTTTTTAAGGTACTAGTTGGAGTTCGGAAAAGACTGGACTTCTATCGATCGCGCTTCTTCTGGCAGAGCGATGAGTTAAAACGAAAGTACAGACTCGCTAAATGTGATATAATCTGTAGGCCAAAAGACCAAGGGGGTCTTGGCATTGAAAATTTAGAGGTGAAGAACAGATGTCTTCTCAGCAAGTGGTTGTATAAGCTATCTATAGAGACCGATGCCACATGGGCCCATATTCTGCGTAATAAGTACCTACATTCCAAAACCTTATCCCAGGTGATGGTCAGACCGACTGATTCACCATTTTGGAAGGGATCGATGAGAATGAAATCAGTCTTATTCAACATGACAAAATTTATCGTTGAAAATGGTACTACCACAAGATTCTGGAAGGATACATGGTTAGGGGAGACGCACCTCGGAATCCAATATCCTTCTCTCTATAATATTGTTCAGCGAAGAGACGCTTACGTTGCATCAATATTACAGTCCAACCCTCTCAATATTCAATTTAGGAGGACTTTAGCGGGAAACCGTTGGGAAGCTTGGCCCCATCTTGTGAGAAGATTGATGGATGTTCACATTTCTCAATAGCCAGACCAGTTGCACTAGAAACTAACCAAGAATGGAGAGTTTTCAGTTAAATCCATGCAGTTAGATATTATCAACACTGGCTTTATACCTCGATAGAAGCATGTTTGGAAAGTCAAAGTGCCCTTAAAAATTAATTTTGTTCATAAACAAGTCATTCTAACTAAGGATAATTTGGCAAAACACAACTGGACAGGATCTAGAAGATGTAACTTCTGTGATCATGATGAATCTATCAAACACCTTTTTCTTGATTGCCCAATGGCAAAAAAAATATGGCGGTCTATCCACATAGCGCTTAACATTACTCCTCTGAATACCATCCACACGTTATTTGGAACGTGGCTAGATGGAGTAGAGTCAGAAACGGTGAGACATATCCATGTAGGAGTATGTGCTTTACTATGGGCAGTATGGAACTGCAAGAACGATTTGGTTTTTAATAGAACAACACATATTCATTTCTTGTAGGTTATTTTTTGGGCCACTGCACTGATCCGTATGTAGTCGCTACTCACTCCGACGGATGCCAGGGAGCATATGGTTACTGGGTCTATCCGGTGGGAGATGGTAGCCCGGGATATCTTCAACCGGTTTGGATGGCGGTCATGTAATAGGATAGGTGTTTAGTTTCCTATCTACTTTTGTCTGCCAGTTGTGGCTATCCTGTTTTTTGTGTTATCGCTCTTTGTGAGCATTTTTACCTTTTTGAGACATGGAGACTTTGTTGAACCTTTTGCTTACTAATAATATGGCCATATGCATCGTTCTGATGCAGAGGCCGGGGGATAACCACTTTTTCGAAAGAAAAAGTTAACACAATAGCAGTGCTCCATGTCTCCGTGATGGTGATTGATACGTCTCCATCGTATCTACTTTTCCAAACACTTTTGCCCTTGTTTTGGACTCTAACTTGCATGATTTGAATGGAACTAACCCGGACTGACGCTGTTTTCAGCAGAATTGCCATGGTGTTATTTTTGTGCAGAAATAAAAGTTCTCGGAATGACCTGAAAATCAACGGAGAATTATTTTGGAATATATAATGAATATTGGAAGCAAGATCCACGTCAGGGGGTGCCCCACCTGTCCACGAGGGTGGGGGGCGCGCCCCCTGCCTCATGGGCCCCCTGACGCTCCACCGACCTCAACCTGGACTCCATATATTCACTTTCATGGAGAAAAAACCAGAGGAGAAGGATTCATCGTGTTTTACGATACGGAGCCGCCGCCAAGCCCTAAACTCTCTCGGAAGGGCTGATCTGGAGTCCGTTCGGGGCTCCGAGGAGGGCAATCCATCGCCATCGTCATCATCAACCATCTTCCATCACCAATTTCATGATGCTCACCGCCGTGCGTGAGTAATTCCATCGTAGGCCTGCTGGGCGGTGATGGGTTGGATGAGATTTATCATGTAATCGAGTTAGTTTTGTTAGGGTTTGATCCCTAGTATCCACTATGTTCTGAGATTGATGTTGCTATGACTTTGCTATGCTTAATGCTTGTCACTAGGGTCCGAGTGCCACGATTTCAGATCTGAACCTATTATGTTTTCATCAATATATGAGAGTTTTTGATCCTATCTTGCAAGTCTATAGTCACCTATTATGTGTTATGATCCGTTAACCCCGAAGTGACATGTAACACCCCGGATGTAACTTTCCCAATTTGTACTCCAACTCTTGCCGTTTCCGGCGTTAAGTTAATTTATATTCTCGGGTTCGGGTCTTTGTCTCCGTGTGTTGTTGTCATTGTCATGCATCTCATATCATGTCATCATGTGCATTGCATTTGCATACGTGTTCGTCTCATGCATTTGAGCATTTTCCCCGTTGTCCGTTTTGTATTCCGGCGCTTCGTTCTCCTCCGGTGGTCATTTCTAGCTTTCTTTCGTGTGTGGGGATTAAACATTTCCGGATTGGACCGAGACTTGCCAAGCGGCCTTGGTTTACTGCCGGTAGACCGCCTGTCAAGTTTCGTACCATTTGGTCTTCATTTGATACTCCAACGGTTAACCGAGGGACCGAAAAGGCCTCGTGTGTGTTGCAGCCCAACACCCTTCAATTTGGCCCAAAACCCACCTAACTCTGCTCCATCATCTAGAGCGTTCGATCATAATCGCGTGGCTGAAAACCGCACCTCATTTGGACTCTCCTAGCTCCCTCTATGCCTATATATACACCCCCTCCCGAAAATCCGGACGAAACCCTAGATCCACTCATCCTCGCACGCGCCGGACAAAATTCCTGCCGACGGACATTGTCCGGCCCGCCTCCCCGCCGCCATGTGGCACTCCGCCGTTCGCCGCCGCCGGATCCCGCCGCACCGGCCCGCAGGCCCGCGCGGGGCCCTCTCCGGCCCGCGCGCCGCCGCCGCCGCCCTTTCTCCTCCTCACGCGCCGCTCGCCGGCCCCGCCACCTCCTCCGAGCAGTCGCCGGCCGCCGCGCCTCCCCGCCACCTCCGCCCGGCCACCGCCTCGACCGCGCCGCCCCGGCAGCTCCGGTGGCCGCGCCGCCCGGCCGCCGACGCCGCCTTCCGCCGCCGCCTCGCCGTCCTCTCCCGAGCCGGCAAGCCCTCTGGCCATCTCCCTCCTCCAGCGATCCCCGTCTTCCGCGCTCGG